TGTTTTGTGAAGTCAACACGATCACCATACTATTTCTCAATTAGATGTTAGTTATAGGACTAAATCTCCATTTTTTCCTCATTTTTTAGTTGTTCGGTTTTTATCAGGCGTGACACTGTATGGTGGACCACGAGCGAGTTCTTTGCTAGACGTGCCGGAGGTCAAATCGTTTCATCACGAGTACAATTCGAGGGATTGCACGATCGAGTTTGTGGATGATGTGAAAGCTGCCGTTGATCACATTCGAAAGCACGGAAGGCAAGTTTTATGTTCGTTTTACCATTTTTTCAATCTTTTGTTTCATTGCTTTTACACATATTATTCTCAAAAATTTTTGTGGCCTTCATAACATTGCAAATTTTCAATTCCAGTGGCCATACTGAGTGCATTGTCGCCGAAGATAAAGAGACTGCAGAGTACTTCTTACATCAAGTCGACAGGTATTGTATCTCGATATAATTTTAAGGCTCCACATTTGTAAAATGAAACACGGTTTGAGGTTTTTTCTGTAATTAGGTATTCTTTTGTTTGCTTGACGATGTGAATTGTTTATCGGTTTACATATATATACAGTGCTGCTGCGTTTCACAATGCAAGCACTCGATTCTGTGATGGGATGCGTTTCGGCCTTGGGGCAGAGGTAAAAAAAAAAAAAGATAAAAAAAATGATCTTCGAAGATTAGCATTTAGAAATTCTAGTGAACTATTTTTTTTTTCCTTGACAATTTTTGCTTATAATCTATAATTCGTGAAACGAAGGTTGGAATAAGCACGAGCAAGATACATGCTCGAGGTCCAGTTGGTGTTGAAGGACTACTAACGACAAAATGGTACGTATAATTTAAGCGTTCTATTTAGTTGAGCACAAATGATTCTTGCGTGAGACGACTTAAAAGTTAAACAAGTCGAGTCGACTCATTGATGATATGAATGCAGGGCTCTTAGAGGCAACGGACACATAGTGCAAAAAGATGAAGGGGTTGTTTATACCCACAACAATCTATGTCTCAATCAGTGAAATTTTGAACATGTTAGTTTTCATAAGATGCTAGCCTTTTTTTTTTTTTTTTTTTGGAATTTAGTCGACTTTTGTTCTTCAAAAATCCGAGGATTGTATGTTTTGCGCTCTTAACTTTTATGTCCTTTGATCGTTCAAACTCATAGTTAAGGAGCGTCGCTAGGAAGTTTTGACCTTTGCGAACTGTCATTTGTTGTACGATGAGAAAACTCGGGTATTTATCCTTATAATCAAAATAAAAGCTTGTATTATTGTAGTCAAGTATGGTTTTTGTATGTAAAAATGCAGAGTTTTTGAATCAGATGCTCATCTCTGTTTGTCGAAATATGATGTACACTCTCGGATGCATTTACATCTTCGTTCACACACATAAAGTATGAGATTTTTCTCGATTTCAAAATTATTTTTCATTTACTGGTTCATCCAATTGAATGAATAACACGTGTTCATGATGAGATAGTAATTATAGACGTATCAATCATATTCTCCCTATATATAATTCCCGAATGCGCTGAGCCTACGTGGCTGCTTCTGGTGCTTCGGAATCCTATTTGGCGAAAAATCATGCTTCGTAATTAGGTTTGGACAAATAATATTAATATATTAATAATTAATAGTCTAGGTTCGGGTATTCCATAAATATTATTTAGCTAACTTAGGTAATTTAATATCACTTTTACTAATATAACCCTTTAATTCTTTGTAATTTTACATAGTGAGACACTAAGTGACTAATATGTCCCTAAATTTTGATTTGCTTCATTCAATAAGCTATTGAATTATAAATGTATTTTAAAAGTAGATAACTTTTGTATTTCTTATCGGTTTTACATATATAATATATCAAATTAATCATCTTTCGATGATCTTCGATTTGACATCCATATTGTATATATAAATAAATAAATTATATTTATTTTTATAATAATAAAAACTAATAATATTTATTAAAATTCATTAGAAAAATAAAATTATTTCTCTATTGATATATTTATATTTAATGTAGTTATATATTATAAGTTAAAAAATTAGTATAATATAACACAAGTAAGTTGCACAAATAAAAAGTATCATAATAAATATATAATATTATAAATATTCTTATAAAAGGTATTTAAATTTTCAAACTATTTTTTCTCATTAATTTTAAATTTTAAGAAAAAAATTAGCAAGCACCCGTTTAATACACGGGTGTTGTACTAGTAATATAATATGACGAAATTTCATATATAATTTAGAAAAAAGAAATCCTTTTGTTGACAAGTACTTTGTGGGAAAAAAAAAGTCCACAGAAAAAGTGGGTCAATGTGAAAATTTGAAAATTTTTGCAATAAATGGTTTTCCCAATTAGAATGAGAGACTTTTAATTAAAGTATTAAATTAGAATCATATTCATATAAGATGAAATAGTATTAATATTAATGTACAATATGGTTGTTGAGTTAATGAATATATGTGTAAAGTTATT